TCCCATGCTGAAAACTGTGAGACTTAAAGAAATGAGGAACTCCAGTTCTGGGCTGTGGCAGGCCTCTCCTCAGGCTGCCTTCCCCACTTCCCCCTGCCTGCCCGCCCCTCCTCCCCCCACTTCTCCCCCAGGCCCCCTGCCCCGACCTCTCCACACCCCACTCAACTCCTGAGGAGCTCCCAGGCTGGGAAAAGTGCCAAGGTCTGGGGCCAAGGCTACCGCAGGCCAGGCCCGGCTTCCAATCCCATTTCCTCCATTTGCATGCTGTGTAACAGCAAGGAGGAGAGTTTTCCACTCGGAATCTCATTTTCCTAAACTAGAAGGCAGGGAATTAAGAGAAGTAAATGAGATGAGGTTCCTGAGAAAATTCAGAGGCACAGGAGGCCCTCCGAAAACAATCATAAGAACAGATATTGAGCACTGGGCACATGCCCTAGGCCCATCACACTACCATTTCCACCAAGCCCCTGCTCCCACCAGTGCCCACTGGACAGAGGGGACCGAGGCTCAGAGAGGTTAAGGAACTTGCCCAAGATCACACAGCTAAGAAGTGGTGGAGCCAGGCTTTGAGCCCATCTCTATTTTCAAAGCTCGTCTTTTTATTCTTCATCCTCTGCTGCAATTCTAGGCCAACCCAAACCGAGCAGAAATCTGTCAGACTTCCTTGGTCCACTGAAACCTCTGGGGAAGAGATGAGTAATTGTCACTGTTTCCTCCAGCCTGCCTCAGAAGCCCTCGGCTCCTCGGGGCACCTGGCCGGCTTGGTGGTAGAGCACATAGCTCTTGGTCTTGGGGTTGTGAGTTTGAGCACCACACTGGGTATAGAGATCACTTAAATGAATAAATAAAAACTTAAAAAGAAAGTTCCTAGCTTCCTCCACTTTCTTGTCACATGATCTCAGGCAATACTTTTCTGAGCCTCTTCTGAGCCTCAGTTTTCTCACCTGTGAAATGGGAATGATAATGTCTGTCTGTCTTGCTTGTGGGGAGGCATAAGTGAACATATGTTTGTACTGAGTCTGTTCAGAGGAGGTGCCCACAGAATCACACCTGCCAGTGTTTCTGGAAACATAGAAATGGCCCCTCTGCTTCACATATCCTCCTCCCTGGCCTGTGGCCCCATGGTCCCTGGCATACCTGTGTACCTCTCCTCTCAGCTCTTGCAAGAGTCCTTCCTTTTCTTATTGGGTCCATTGGAGGCTCAACAACCTTTCAACATGACAAATATGCCCACAGAAGTTACAAACACCAGCATACCATTTGACCCAGAAATTCCACTTTGGGGATCTATCTCAAGGAAACATTTTCCACGCATTCATTCAGTGAGTCATTAACAACAGTAATTTATTGAGCATCTACTGTTTGCCAGGCCCTGTGATATGCTGGGACTATACTGGGGAGCAAAGCAGACTGCTACTCCAACCTCTGACCACCAGAAGACAATGGTCTTTTCTTTTAAGTTCTGGATTAAAAAAAAAAATTTTTTTTCTATTTTATTTTAAGTAGGCCCCACACCCAATGTGGGGCTCGAACTCGTGACTCTGATTAACAGTCGCATGCTGTACCCACTGAGCCATCCAGGCTCCTCCAGAGGCTAACTGACTAATTGTTGAGGAGACATTAAATAAACAATTACACATATAAATATAAGACTGCAAAATTGTAATGGCAAGGAAATGTTTCAATGTGTTGTATTGTAGCAGGCTTTTGCCTGCTAATCTGGTAGGTCCACTTCTGTGCCCAGGAATCTGGGAAAAGATAAAGGCAAAGGAAAGGGAGGATTTTTTTTTTTTAATTTAATTTAATTTTTTTTTTAAAGATTTTATTTATTTATTTGACAGACAGATCACAAGTGGACAGAGAGGCGGGCAGAGAGAGAGAGGGAAGCAGGCTCCCTGCTGAGCAGAGAGCCCGATGCGGGACTCGATCCCAGGACCCCGAGATCATGACCTGAGCCGAAGGCAGCGGCTTAACCCACTGAGCCACCCAGGTGCCCGGATTTTTTTTTTTTTTTAAGATTTTATTCATTTAGGGGCACCTGGGTGGGCTCAGTGGGTTAAAGCCTCTGCCTTTGGCTCAGGTCATGATCCCAGGGTCCTGGGATCGAGCCCCATATCGGGCTCTCTGCTCAGCGGGGAGCCTGCTTCCCCCTCTCTCTCTGCCTGCCTCTCTGCCTACTTGTGATCTGTGTCTGTCAATTAAATAAATAAAATCTTTAAAAAAATTTTAAAAAAGATTTTATTCATTTATTTGACAGAGAGATCACAAGGAAGCAGAGAGGCAGGCAGAGAGAGAGAGAGAAGAAGCAGGCTCCCTCGATCGCAGGACCCCAAGACCATGACCTGAACTGAAGGCAGAGGTTTAACCCACTGAGCCACCCAGGTGCCCCAGGAAAGGGAGGATTTTAAAGTTTTCTGTTGAGTGTTATCACTCAGGAACCTCTCTTTGAAGGTCAAGGCGGGACCTGATGTCAGCTGGGTCATGGGGTGGGCAGCGCGTCTGTAATGTTTATGCAAAGAAAGAAAAAGACAAAACTAAGAGGCAACCCCGTGGCATGGTGTACTCTGCGACAGATTGTGGGTTCCAAATGCCATTCTCCAATAAAAGGAACCAGGCTTCTGGGAGAAATGGTTGCATGCAGGGCTGGGGCAGAAAGAAGACCAGATGAGCCTGAAGCATCTTGTGGCATCAGACAGTAAGGAAGGGCTGAGAATGCAGAACGAGGAGGGCATGGCCAAGTGACCCAGGTGCCAACCCAAAGGAACTCCCCAGGCTGGAACGATTTGAGCAACAACAGCAATAAGTCAAGGTGTAAAGTAAATACCCATGACTCCATACTGATGTAAATAAATAACAGAATAAATAGATAAATGGGGGAGAAGAGACACATCTTTCTTACAGAGGACTCCCAATAATTTATTTGGATGTTACTCACTCTGGGAAGTGGGGCTTAGCTTTCCCTAACGGTGGGCTGCACTTAGCGACTTCTTTCCAAAGACTGGAGTATGAATGGTGGAAATAGCAAGTTTCCAGTGGAGAAACCCGGAAACACCGCCTTAACTAAGCCATCACGGTTAACGTCACAGTGAAAAGTCCTGTGCCCATGTCATGTGCCCCCTAGGAGAGGCAGTGATGAGAAGGGCATATCACCTTGGTAGTATCCCCCCGGAAAAACCAAAGCCCCAGTCTAATCATGAGGACGGCATCAGAAAAAATCCCATTTGAGGGGCATTCTGCAAAATGCCTGACCTGTTCTCCTCAAGACTGTCAAGCTTAGAAGAAGAACTGGGAAAGGTTGAGAACGGGTCACACATAGGAGACATGAAGATTAAATGCAATACGGACTCCTGGGTGAGATTCTGGAACAGAAAAAGTACATCAGAGAAAAAGCAGATAAAATCCGAATAAAGTCTATAATTTAGTTAACATTAATGTAGCAATGTTGGTTTCTTAGTTTTGACAAATGTGCCCAGGTAATGTGAGATGATAGCATTAGGGGAATTTAAAACTAGCTGAGGGATGTATGGGAAATCTATTTTTGCAACTCTAGTGTAAATTTTAAAAAGTTTAAAATCTGCACACAAACAGAATAAAGGGTTGAAAGAAACACAGCCAAGTGTTTGTAGTAAGTATATTTGGATAGTGGTAAGGAATGTCCTCTTTTTTCAGTGTCTTTTTTTTTTTTGTCATTTTTTTTGTCAGTGTCTTTAATTAGGGTTAATTAGGGTTTATTCCTTTTTTGGTCAGTGTCTTTAATTAGGGTTAATTAGGGTTTATTCCTTTTATTTTAAACATTTATTATTACTTTAAAAAAAAAGATTTAGGGGCGCCTGGGTGGCTCAGTGGGTTAAGCCGCTGCCTTCGGCTCAGGTCATGATCTCGGAGTCCTGGGATCGAGCCCCGCATCGGGCTCTCTGCTCTCTAGGGGAGCCTGCTTCCTCCTCTCTCTCTCTGCCTGCCTCTCTGCCTGCTTGTGATCTCTCTGTCAAATAAGTAAAATAAAATCTTTAAAAAAAAAAAAAAAAAAAAAAAGATTTATTTTAGAGTGAGAGAGAGAGCAGGGGGGAGAAGCTGAGGGAGAGAGAGCATCTCAGGTAAGCCTCTCCCCCTCTCTTCCGGCTGGGCTCAGATCTCTCTTCACCGGGAGATCATGACTTCAGCCCAAACCAAGAACTGGAGGCTCAATCGACTGCGCCACTGGGGCGCCCCAAACCTTTTATTATTTCTGATTAGAAGTCTATTACTTTTCTGGTAACAGAAAGTGAAATAATTTTGCGCAATACCTAAATGATCTCATTTAATCCTCACAACCAGCTAGGAAAATATTCTTTGCCCTATTTTACAGATGAGGAAACTGAAACTGAGAAGTCGGTGATTTGTTTAAAGTTAGATACCAAGCAAGAGGGCTCTCGCCTAAGCAGATTTCTTTCTAGCCCAAGGAAGAAATTTTAACTACAAATGTCCAGCAGGTATGAGCATCCTGGAAAGGGGGTGAGCTCCCCGTCCGTAGAGGACTGCGAGTGTCCGGGAGAGGGAATCAGGAGACCTGACACTGCATCTTTCTCCGCGGATGCAGAGTGCAGGGCACAGGTCTTCTGTGAGACCCAGAACTACAGCAGGCCGGCCGCGTTTCCTCCTTCTAACTGGGAAGACGACAGGGGCAGGTGGGGAGCAGCTGGGACTTCTTCATCTCCATCAGCGCCCCCTCCTCCACCACGGGATACATCACAGACCATTGGGGACGAGGGGACATTTAGTCAGAGCCTCTGGGCGTCAGGCCCTGATCTAGACTTTTGACGTCGCGCCGCCAAGGTGAGAGGTAGGCACTGCTTCCCATTTTAGGGTTGAGGAAACCGATGCGGTCAGATGGCACCCGCAAGGTCCCCTCGCCCGGAGATGGAGAGGCCCCGCCCATTTCGGCGGGGCGGGGCGGGGCGGGGCTGCGGGCTCCGAGCGCGGGCAGCGGCCACTCAGTCTAAGTCCAACGAACCGCGAGGACCATGGAGCCGGTGTCGTTGCACGACTTCGTTTGCGCCTTGGACCTCGCCTCCCTCCCGCGTGTGCTGCGGGTCTGCTCGGGGGTCTACTTCCAGGGTGAGTGAGGGGTCGCGACCCCCCGCCCCCGCCGCGGCCTGGCTCTCGCTGGGTGGTGGGGCAGGGGCGCTGCCCAGGCGACGGAAACCGGGGAAACCCAGCTACGCTGCCACTGCCCAAGCCCAGGTGTGACTTGGGGCCACACTCAACCTCTCTGGGCCTCGGCTTTTGCTTTCGTGGAATGGGAGAGCGCTGATTGCCCGTAGGGTAGTGGTAAGTCAATGAGCTTAGACACTCAGGTGGGTGGAACCGAGCCAAGCGGGGGTGAAACCGCGGTGCGCACCCCGGGAGGTCTGACCGTGGGAAAGCGGAACATAGGGGCTCGTGCCAGGTCAGCCCCCTCCTCCGCCTGCCGTCCCACTCCGCCCCCTTGACGCCTGTCTACGCGCCTTCATTCAGTCCTTCCAGCCCACCTTCGCCCTCAGCTTTGCGACCTGATCTCTCAGCTCGGTTCTCAGCGTGCGCCTCTGTTCCCCGCAGCAGCTTTCCCCGCTCTCTGCTCCTTGCGCACCTGCACATCTGCCTCCTGGTTCTCAGGAATGGGTGCAGAGCAGGGGCTCAACGGCTCCTGCTGCCTGAAGGGCGAGACGGACAGGCGGTGGAGGGGTGGGGAAGCCGCTCAGAGGGTGATGTGAGGGAGTGGGGACGTCGGAGGTAGAGGGAACTTGGGAGACTGGGTGGAGGGGGAGAGGCTCCTTCCTGAGAAAGCGAACTAGGGCAGGGGTACCCTTGCACATCTGTTCCCTCTTTCTCTTCCCTTGCTTTGCCACAGCAGGCTCCAGGGGAAGTGTTCTGAGGCTCCAAGGGGGGGAGCCCAGACCAATGGGGCGACATATGGAAAGCCACACAGGGGACAGGACCTGCCACCGCACACTGGGTTTGGCCAGGAACTCTTGGGAATCTGGCAGATGTGGGTTCAAAGGCTGACTTTCCTTTGGGGGCTCCCTGCAGGCGCTTCTCGTGTTTGTGCTCCTGCTGACATCATCCCCTGACCACCGAGTGTCACAATGGCTGCTTCCTCATTCTGCCTGACCTGGGGTGTGGGAAGTGGTGGATGTTTGGTGAGAGAAGAACCTGGGAGGAGGCCAGGTGGTGGGAGTCCTGGGGCAGAGGAAGGGGCCCCACTCTCCGAAGCAGTTAGCTGCGTCATGAGGGCTTCCAGCTGTAGAGACAAGCGCCCGGGGCTGGAGCACCTATTCTGCTCCCTTGGACCACCCAGCCTCACCCAGGCGCAGCTCATTATTTTTAGGGTGGGGAGCAGGTCCTCCCTCAGAGGATAGTCATAGGTCTTCAATGCAAAGCATATCGGCAGTCCAGTGCCCAATGCCCAGTGCCCCAGCTGCTGTTCACACCAGCCCTGCGGGGCCGCCCCATGAAACTGCAGATTATGAGCCCATGTGCATTTTTCCAGTATGCAGGTGGGATTATCATCAGCTTCTGAAAGCCCTGATGGGGATACCTTGGAAGGGCTGGGGTCAGCTGGCCTCAAGGCTGACCTCTGTGCGCTGTTGGGTCCCAAGTCCACAGACGGAGTCTGTCCAGCCCGTGGGTGGGGGGAGAGGGGAGATCTTTATCGAGCACCTTTTATGTTCCGGACACTGCTTTAGACACTTTAGAATCATTAAGTGGGACTACTGGCTTGATGGTGGCAGCCCAGACACCTGCCTCCTGTGCCCACCCTGTCGGTGGCCCTCCGCTTCCTCCCGTGCTTCCTTTAAACACAGCTCACGTGAAAAGGAAAGCACTGGTGCTGGTGTCAGTCTGTGTGTGTGACCTCCAGGCTGTCTCTGCCCTTCTCTGGGCCCGAGGCCCTAGCTGTACGGAGGCAGCTGGGACTTTAGGCGTTGCTTACTTGCCAAGACTTCAGCCCAGGCTTGGCGGCGAGGCCTGGGTCAGGGCCGGTGATGCTGGGGTGGACCAGCCCTGCCCTGCCTGTGAGCTCTGTTCAGGAGGCATGGGGTTGTGGAGAAGGCCAGAGAAGTGTCTCACAGAGGGTCCATCCAGCGCTGAAGGAAGACATAGGCAGGGTTCCTGTGGCCTGAGTGTGGCTGAGCCAAAGGCCATTGGGTAGGGAAGGACAGGGGAGGCCGCTCCAGGCTGCAGGAACCAGTGCAGAGCAGAGGCAGAGCGCAGCCTGTCGGGGAACAGGGCGCGGGCCGGCTAGCACTTGGCTCCTCTGACACACAGAAACCGAATCTGTCTCTTGGCAGGCTCCATCTACGAGATCTCTGGGAATGAGTGCTGCCTCTCCACAGGGGACCTGATCAAGGTCACCCAGGTTCGCCTCCAGAAGGTGGTCTGCGAGAACCCAGGAACAGGCCAGACCATAGAAATCCCCCCCAACTTCTGTGGTAAGGCAGACAGCTCTGTGTCCTGTCCACCAACAACCCCCCCACCCCCACCCCGCCAACCCCGAGTGCACCGGCCCCCTCCAGCCCCAGCATGCACTACCAACCCTCAAGTTTGGCCCCTGTGCTCTCACATCCCCCACTGCTGTGCCCCAAGGCCCCGATGTCCTCTGAGGGGTCTGACGATGCCCTTAACCTGGAGTGGCCGCACCCTCTCCATATTCATCTCTCTGGTCACATCTGCCTCTTGGCTGGGACTCTCTTTGTTCCGGATCTTTGTCCATGTGCCTGTCTCTGTGTTTGCTCACACATTTCCCCGCCACACATTTACTGACACCTGTTGTGTGCTCGGAGCTGGGGGTGTGGAGCTCAGGATGACCTGGGGGGGTGACAGCGAGAGGAGGGCAAGAGTCGACACAGAGTTTAGAGAGGGTTCCTGGCAGGAGGAGAACACCTCAGGGGTCTGGGCAGGCTTCCTGGAGGGGGTGGCACCTGAGCAGGAAGGAGGACTTCCAGAGGGAGTAACACAGGGAGTAGCATGGGCATATCTGGTGCTCCAGAAATGACGGAGCTCGGTTCCTGCAGGACACGTGTCGTGAGCTGGGCGGGCGGGGGTGGGGGGTGGCTGGGACGCTGAAGCCTGGTTGGGAAGCCCCACTCTGCCGGCTGTGTGCCATGGCCTAGAGTCTAGACTAGTACCTTTGCAGAAAGTCCTTGTCACACAGACAGGAGGGGGCCTTGAGGTAACTTGGGGTAACTTGGGATAACTTGCAGAGGGGACCAGAAGCAATGTCTGGATGTGGGCTATTTTAGGCCAGTACAGTGGCGGGAGAAGCATGACTGGGGACAGGGGAAGAAGTTGGATGGGGGAAGAACAGTCGGGCCACCAGAACTGGCAGACAGGATGTGGGGTGAAGGGTGGTGGTCACAGGTCATTTGGCTAGGAGCTCCTGGGTGTCTAGTTTGTGAGAGAGGGGGACAGTGGCGCTGCCCCAGCATGGGGTGATCGGTGTTGGGTATATGGGATTGGAGTGGTGGTGAGGAACCTGGAAGCAAAGTTGGCAGAATTGGAGGTAGTTACGGTTCAGGAGGTAGGCACAGGTGGCCGTTGTCAGTGTCTTTGGGAAAACACATCCCTGTTCTGTCTCTGATGACAGTCCCTCTAAGTTCTTGCTTCTCTGCGTAAGGAGGAACTGTCCCCATTTCTACTTGTCACTGTCCCTTTACACATGATCACTGGCTGCTGCTTGTCCCTCAACCCTGCGGCCTGGATGTCCATATGCTTGGGACTTGTCTTCGGGGGATTCTGACTGGGTTCTCTGTGGCCCACCAGGGCCTGGTATGTGTGTCCCTGGACCCACAAGGGCCCGTCCCACCTTGACACCCTCTGCTGTGCCCCACAGGCCACTTCAGCCCCCTCACCGGCCCTCAGAGCTATGAAACCCTGGAGGAGCTGCTCTCTGCTGCAACCCAGCACTCCAGGAAGCTGCCCATTGGCTTCATGTCGACACACAAAATCACCACAAAGGCCAGGGTGGTGCCCAGGGACCAGCCCCTCCTGCTCAAGGATGTGGAGGAGTATCATAGGACCTACCATGCCCGCTGTGTGCTGGACACCAAAACCCAGCACTTCACTCTGTACCTGCCCCTGTCCCAGAGGGGCCCCTTCTGGGAATGGGAGCCTGGTGCCCCTCGGCCCCTCCTCCAGGCCCTGAAGGATCCAGCCCTGAGCGACCGCCTCTTCACCTGCCCCACACTCCCTTGGGAGTCCCTGCTCCTGAGGCCCCAGTATGAGATCCAAGCCATCATGCACAGTGAGTTGCTGGGGCGGATTGTGGGGGGGAGGGTTGACGGGGTGAGAGAGGGGCTCCTGGGAAGCTGCTCAGTTGGAAGGTACCCCAAGTACCAGGTCGCTTACCCAGTACATACAATATAACAGAATGAAGAGTCCCAGATAGTGGGGCATTACTAAAAGGAGACAGGAAAATGAGGGAACTTAAGAGTGAGGTCCCACTCTTTATAAAATTAGGCAAAAGTTGGATTATGAGCTCGCTAGCAACTAGGACAAAGCAACAGCTACACAGTAAAACCTTGACTGTTTGCTCAGGAGAAACAGATTTTCCTGCCTCTGGGGAGGAAGAGATTGTTCCTCAAGGGCCCCCGCGTCTGTGTGACAAGGACACTGGGTGAATCCCTAGCTGTCTCTTCGGCTGTCTGAGGGCAGGCTGGGGGCAGCGTGCTGAGCAGGGCTGGTGAAACAGGTAGAAGCCGGCCACTATGGCCGCTGGGAGGCCGAGCTGGAGCAGAGGCGGAATGGGTGCCCTGGGGCCTCTTCCCTGGAGGACAGAGTTTGAGGACCTCCTGGACCCCGTCACCCGACATCACAGTTACAGGACCTATCTGTCCTGTTTCGTCTCTCCCCACCCTGCCTGATTATTTCAAAACAAACCCCACGTATCCCATCATTTCTCATATAAATACTTCAGTGTGTCTTTAAAAACAATGATTTATTAAAGATTTTATTTATTTATTTGATATAGAGAGAGAGATCACAAGTAGGCAGAGAGGCAGGCAGAGAGAAAGGGGGAAGCAGGCCTCCTGGCTGAGCAGAGAGCCCAATGCGGGGCTCGATCCCAGGACCCTGAGATCATGATCTGAGCCGAAGGCAGAGGCTTAACCCACTGAGCCACCCATGTGCTCCTAAAAATAATTTTTTTAAACAGGCACACAATACCCTCATCACACCAAAAAAATTAACAATAACTCCTTATACCACTATTTGGTGTTTGTACTTCCTCTCCTGTCTCCTAAATTGTCCTACAGTATGTTCACAGCAGGATCCAGACAAGACCCACAAGATTGCTGTTGATTTCAGGCCTTTTAAATCTGTTACTCTACAGGGTCACCTTTCTTATTTTTCTTATAATTTATCTGTTGAAGGGACTCGGCTCTTTGTCCTGCAGGCTGTCTCGCATTTGGATTTTGGTGACAGCATCCTTGCGATGGAGCCAGTGGGCGTCTGTCCCCTGTACTGGCCTCATGGGACTTGACATCTGGTTGTACTCGCAGCCGTGATTTATTGCAGCAAAAGGACACAAGAGTTGCCTCCTGGTGCAGTCACACAGGACACACGGAGTCCCTCTAGCACTGAACTGTGGCAACACGTGTGAGCTGTTATTTGTCAGGGAACCTCATAGACTCAGTGCCCGAGGTCTTTACTGGGGGCTGGTCACGTAGGTCCCCTCTGCTTAGCACGCACCCCAATTCTAGACCTCAGTCAGAGAGCACGTGTTCGGCATCCCTGACTGTACAGGCTAAGGACGGGAACCACCCCCGGCAGTGAGAGGATGGTGGGAACACATGCTAAACCACGTCCCCAGACACCAGCGGAGGACCAGCCTTGTAGGCAGGCTTTTCTAGGGATAAAAGCCTCAGGCCAGCTGTTGGCTCTTTGCCACACATCTGTAGAGGTTTGACCAGACCCAGGAGGCGGTTCTCATGGCTGCAGGAGGTGTGGGGCAAAGAGTCCACCCCCCCACCCCCACCCTGTGTCTGTCCCCAGCCTAACATGCAGCACCAGCCTTGGTGTCGATCAGATGCAAAGCCCTGGGCCGGCTTCTGTGATGTGAGTGGCTGTTGCAATAGTGATTTGAGTCCTAGGGCTCCTTCTTCATCTGGTAGTCAGGAACTGACTATAAAAAGCAACTCCCTGCCCCCACCACTCCAGCATGAGGAAAGCGGGACATTGTGTTTATGTAAGTCAGGGTCCCCGGATACCATTCTCCCTCTGCTCTGGCGGACCTGGCCAGGTTCTGCCTGGCTCTCGAGCCCTGCTCTGCTCGCTGCCTCCAGCCTATAGGGAGGAACGTCCTAAGAGATGTATACTTTGTTTACTAGTTTGTTTTGGTTTTGTTTTGTTTTTTAAAGATTTATTTGAGAGAGAGTGTGCTTGTTGGGGAGGGGTGGAAGGGGAGGGAGAAACTCTCAAGCAGGCTCCTTGCTGAGTGCAGAGCCTCGCAGAGCCTTACTCGGGGCTCAATCTCACATCCCTGGGATCATGGCCTGGGCTGAAACCGAAAATTGGATGCTAAACTGACAGAGCCACCCAGGGGCCCGTTTCCTAGTTGTTGTTGTTGTTGTTTTTAAGATTTTATTTATTTATTTGACAGACAGAGATCACAAGTAGGCAGAGAGAGAGGGGGAAGCAGGTTCCCCACTGAGCAGAGAGCCTGACTCGGGGCTCGATCCCAGGACCCTGGGATCATGACCTGAGCCGAAGGCAGAGGCTTTAACCCACTGAGCCACCCAGGAGCACCCCCCACCCCCACCGTTTCCTAGTTTTTTAAAATGAGTTGTCTCCCTAGCATTCTTCAAGGATGATTATTTAGGGTGGTTTGTTTTTTTTTAAATCATCATTATGAACTCACAGATTTTCAGTGTTTTCAATATTCAGTGAACTCGATATTTTCAGTGTTCTAATCCACTGGCATCATTATTGGTGCTCACCTTATCTCAGCCTTGGCCTCAGGGGAGCCTTTTGACACACCTGCAATGGTCTTGAATACATTTTTCTTGCTTTCTGGTTTAAGTGGTTCCAGACTGTGGCACGTTTCTGCTCCAGGAAGTTATCTCTTTCCCAGGGAGCCCTGGCGTCTTGTGGGAAATAGCACTCAGAGAGCACGGCCTGGGGGACCAGGGCTTTGAATGGTGGGTCCGGCGTCTGCCCTGGGTGATGAGGCAGTTCTGGGAATTCATAAAGTCCTTTGAAGAAGAAAACCAGAACCGTAGAATGAACCCCCTGTGGCTACCTCCCAGCTTCAACCAGACGTTGGCTCGCCCTGCACAGAGCAAAAATCCCAGCACTGTGGCCTGAGGGTTGTCCCCACCCGGGCCTCAGTTTCTCCGTGAGGGGGGAGGTTGCTCCTCGCTTGTCTCCCATATGGCTCACACATAAGGGACATTCGCTTACAGAGCCGCCCCTCGCATTTATAAACCTGGTACTCGCTGATGTCCAGAGAGGAAACAAGTTGCCAAGGTCATTAGCCAGTGTTTTTTATTTTTATTTTTATTCAAGATTCAGGGGCACCTGGGTGGCTCAGTGTATTGAGCATCTGCCTTTGGCTCAGGTCATGATCTCAGGGTCCTGGGATCGAGCCCCACATTGGGCTCTCTGCTCGGAAGGGAGCCTGCTTCCCCCTCTCTCTCTCCCTGCCTCTCTGCCTACTTGTGATCTCTCTCTGTCAAATAAATAAATAAAATATTTAAAAAAATAAAATAAAGATTCATTCACTTATTTTAGAGAGAGAGAGAGAGCCCGCACAAGTGGGAGGGGCAGAGGGAGAGAGAATCCCAAGCAGACTCGCCTCTGAGTGAGGAGCCAGACTTGGGGCTTGATCACATGACCCTGAGATCACCACCTGAGTGGAAACCAAGAGTCGGAAGCTCAGCCAAATGAGCCACCCAGGAGCCCCAACCAGTGTTTTTCTTAATTTTAATTTTAAATTTTTTTTTTTTTTTTTTTTAGGGAGAGAGAGAGTGTGCATGAGTGGGGTGGGGCATTGGAGGTGGGTAGAGAATCTTAAGCAGGCGCCACACACCGCCCGGAGCTGGACTCGGGGCATAATCTCATAACCCTGAGATCATGACCTGAGCCGAAATCAACAGTTGGACATTTAACTGACTGAGCCACCCAGGCGCCCCTCTTAATGTGGTTTTTTCTCTTTATTTAAAATGTAGAAAGGAGGAACTCCTGGGTGGCTCAGTTGGTTAAATGTCTGCCTTCAGCTCAGGTTGTGATCCCAGTGTCCTGGGATCAAGTGCTGCACAAGGAGCCTCCTTCTGCCTGCTACTCCCCCTGCTTTTGTGTGCATTTGCGCGTGCTCTCTCTCTCTCTCTCTCTCTCTGACAAATAAATAAATAAATAAATAAAACCTTAAAACACACACACACACACACACACAAACGCAGGAAGGATTTGGCAAGGTAGCTTATAAAATTACATTCAAGGGGCGCCTGGGTGGCTCAGTGGGTTAAAGCCTCTGCCTTCGGCTCAGGTCATGATCCCAGGGTCCTGGGATCGAGCCCCGCATCAGGCTCTCTGCTCAGCAGGGAGCCTGCTTCTTCCTCTCTCTCTGCCTACTTGTGATCTCTGTCTGTCAAATAAATAAATTTTAAAAATAAAATAAAAATTACATTCAAAATTCAATTAAAGTTTAAAAAGTGGTTGGACAAATTAGTTAGTGTTATTGATGAATTATCAAATAATTATTATCTAGATGTAGTAATGGCATTATGGTTATGTTTTTAACTTCATCTCTTCTCTGAGAGATACACGCTGAAAGGTCAAGATGACACGTGATTATTTTGATTCAAAATGACCCCGTGGAGGGGAACAGACAGGATATGAATGAAAGAGGGTGGGCCGTGAATTAAATATTGAAGCTAGCTGATAGGGGGTTCACTATACTCTTGTACTTTTGTAAATGTTTAAAAATTCCTATAATAGGGTCACCTGGGTGGCTCAGTGGATTGGGCCTCTGCCTTCGGCTCATGGCCTTGATCCCAAGGTCCTGGGATCGAGCCCCGCATCGGGCTCTCTGCTCAGCGGGGAGCCTGCTTCTTCCTCTCTCCCTGCTTGTTGGTCCGCCTGCTTGTGATCTCTCTCTCTGTCAAATAAATAAATAAAATAAAATAAAAATTCCTATAATAGCTCTCGAAAAGAGGTTAAGGAAAAGAGTGAACAAGGAATCTGATGCCATAGGGAAAGGTTGGCAGCACAGACAGGGAGGAGGTCAGCTGGGACCTCTTTGCTGCGAGTACAGGGACACCCCTGGGCTGGTGTGCGGGGCGCCCCCTGAGCTGACCTCCCCTCCCCACAGTGCGCAGGACCGTCGTCAAGATCCCCTCCACCCTGGAGGTCGACGTGGAAGACGTCACCGCCTCTTCTCAGCACATCCACTTTATCCAGCCTCTGCTGCTGAGTGAGGCCCTGGCCCGGGGAGGCCCCTTCCCTCTGTCCGCGGAGATCCTGGAGGTTCCGGAGGGGCCCCCCATCTTCCTCAGCCCGTGGGCAGGCTCCTTGCAAAAGGGCCAGCGGCTCTGCATCCATGGCCTGGCCTCACCGCCCTGGCGGATCCTGGTCTCGACCAAGGGCCGGAAGGTGCCCAGACACTTCATGGTCTCCGGGGCTTATCAGGGCAAGCTGCGGCGGCGGCCGAGAGAGTTCCTCACGGCCTGTGACCTCCTGGGTGCCCTCCAGCCAGGCCAACCGCTCCGGGTTGTGGCCACAAAGGACTGTGAGGTCGAAGGGTTAGAGACCCTTAGGCTCACGTCCCTGGCTGTGGGTGACAGGCTGGAGGTGCTGAGGCCCGGCCAGGCCCACGGGGCTGGAGGCCAGGACATAGATGTCTTGGTATGTCAGCGGCTGAGTGACCAGGCCGAGGAGGACGAAGAGGAGGAGGAAGATTATGAAGAGATAGAAAGTGAAAACCAGATCCTGCTGCCCCTCTACATCTCCAGTAGTTTCGTGGAGGAGATGAGTGATAATCGGCGCTACAGCCTGGGAGCACTGACTGCCCAGTTTTCGCTGCCCTGTGAAGTCAAGGTGGTGGCCAAGGACGGCAGCCAGCCTGCTGATCCTCTGCCCTCCTTCCCAGGTCTGCGGCTGGAGGAGAAGATCGTGGAACCCTTCTTGGTGGTCAGCTTCGACTCTAAACCTGACATGTGCTTTGAGCTCCCTCCCCGGTGGCTGGACCTGACTGTCGTGGAGACCGAGCAGCAGCCGGGCCAGCCGGCTGGGCCTCCCCCGGTCGCCACTGTGGAGGAGCTGACGGAAGCCTTCTACTATACGCTCCGGCAGTTACCGGCCTTCAAGAATCAGCCCCCCCCACCGCGGCCCCCCAAAGGTCAAGGCCTCAGTGGGCAGAAGAAACAAAGCGGCAAGAACAAAAGTGGCCAGGTACCAACATACCAAAGCGGGTAGGGAGGGGAACCCGCTGGGGTCACTGCGGGTCCTACCGGTTCCTTGTCCTGAGTCACAGCTCTGTTGTACAGAGCTTACAGTTTCTACGCTCACACACTGTGCGCCCACCATTCTTACTCGGTGCTGACCATCTGCTGCTGGTACGAGGATTCATATTTTATGGGTGACACCATGAGGACTCGGAGACCCTGAGACTTGCCCAGAGTCCCAGTTCAGACGTGGGGGGCCTGAGCGGGAGCGTGAGGCTTCTCCGTGCTCTACCTGCTGTCATCCCCTCATTCCGGTTCATCAGCTGTCACCTAAACTGTGTCAGCAGCCTCCAACCCCCCTTCCCACACCAACCGCTGTCAGAATGGCCTCCCAAGCCCTTCCCTGGTCACCGATGGGCCTCGGCCCTGTCCTCTGAGCCTTCTGAACCTTCAGTGGCTCCCCACGGCCAGGGTGTAATGTTGACCCCTTAGCATGCCATCTGGGGAGGGTCGTTTATAAGCTGACTTCAATCTCCCCACGCCAGACCCCTCTTCCACCACCCACTCTGGTCCGCACTCAGCCGCTGAGAAGCTCCCACAGCTACTCAGTGTGCCGTGATCCCTGCCTCAGCACTTTAACACGTGCTGGGCCTTTTGCCAGAATGTGCTTCCTCCTTTCAGTGGGGAAGGCTCTGCTCAGGCTTCCTGTGTGGAGGTGACAGCCCTCCCCCTTCTGTGTTCACCCTGCCCTGTGGTACGTGGCCTGGTGCGGGTAGGGGTGGTGCGGGCGGGACAACACCTAGTTTCCAGTGTGCCGTGAGGGGTCTGAGGACAGGGACCCCACCTGCTCGCAGTGGGCAGACAGCATTGGTGAGGGCTGAACTGACCCAAACCGAGTCCCAGGGATGGAGAAAGAAGCAGGGAAAGAAGCAGAAAGACCTGCTTATGGCCCAGTTCACTCGCTCTGTGGCCTCTGCTCTCCCATTTTCTCGCAGTGACCCCGGGGATAAGGTCAGTGCTGGCTTCTTAGCCGCGGCCTGCTGGGTGTCTTCTCCGTGGCGGACACTGCCCGCGCCTCACCCCGCACGGCTCTCCTGATGTCCCTGCAAGGTGGGCTCTTTCTACAGTGAGCAAACAAGAGGCACAGAGAGGGAGATGAGCCGCCCTGAGATCACACAGCTAGCAAATGGGCGACCTGGGGTTTGACGCTGGGTCCGACCACCCAGCCCGGGCACCTCACCACATCCAAAGCACGTTGTAAAGTGTAGCAAGGAAATTGCTGTGGGGGGCTTTGGGGAAACTTGCATTTTGTACTGCAAGGGGAGGCAAGAGGGGCTTGCATCCGTGGAGGTGGGAGGGCAGTTAGTTGCTGACAGAGAACACAGGCCTGACAGTACGGGAGAGAACGAACACAGCACAGAAAATTGAGACCTCGGGCCTCGCCTTTGCTCCTGTTGGAAGTGACTTGGGGCCCAGTGCCTGCTCACTGCCCTTGATCCTGCAACTTTTCTTCTCTGGGCATCCGTATTCCCCCCCGCTGAGCAGGGGCGCTCTCCGAAGCATAGTGTGCTAGAAAAAGCGTGAACTTTTGAGGTCACAGACGTGGTTCTGCATCTGAACCTCGGCCCAGCTTGCGGTCCTGTGAGGTATGACATGGCACGCTCTCTCTGAGCCTGTTTCCTCATGGGTACACTGGGAGCTCAAACAGCCCCTCAGAGGGTCCCCTGAGGAGAAACGAACAGGTGTGCTTGTGGCCTGAGTGGGAGTTCAACAAAAGTCTTCCTCCTTCTGGGACCCCTCTCAGCTCGGGCACTCTGTCTTGAGATTTTGTGACTGCTTGTCGCCCCTTTAGCAGCAGAGGTGAAGGACGCTGATTGAACCGCCCCCCCGTGGAGAAACTTGGGGCACCCCCGTCTCTAGCCCCCAGCCCTTCTGTCGCTCATCCTGGCCTGTCTCCCCGGCCGAAGACCATTTCATGCGCTAGAAACAAAAACACTTGGGGTCCCAGGAAGCCCTACCCTGGACAGGAAGTCAAGAGGGGAGCAGAGGAAGTGACCTTGGAAGGAAATTATATTTCATGGACTCTGCTGCCCCATTTCTTGGGACCCTGCTGACTTCTGCTTTTTCTCCCACTCAGTCTTATCAAGTCTCAGAATGGCAGCAAACTCCTCTGCTCCCCAAAGCCAAGATGAAGACACTGCCGCAGGGCGCCAAGGACAGCGCAAGAATGTACAGCAAGGTTGCTGCCCACAGGAAGGGCCTCAGGCACACTAAACCCATCACGGATCCAGGTGGGACCCTTTTAACCCCCGCTTACCCTTGTCCTTGCTTTTCCTCTCCTTGCTCTGTTCCTGCTCGTGCCTCTGGCAGTGCTGGCCATCCCTTGGCAAGGCCCTGCCCTTGAGCAGAACCTTCTGCAGTCCTAGTTGGACAGAGAGGCTTTTAAGTTAAAGGATGGGCTTAGGGGTGCCTGGGTGGCTCAGTCGGTTAAGAGTCTGCCTTCAGCTCAGGTTATGTTTCCAGGGTGCTGGGATGGAGCCCCGTGTCAGGCTCCCTGCTCAGCAGGGAGTTTACTTCTCCCTCTCCCTCCACCCCTCCACCCACTTGTGCTCCCTTCCTCCCTCTCCCTCTCTCAGATAAATAAATCTTTAAAAAAAGAGAGAGAGAAGGGGTCCCCATTGTTCCTTCCCCAGGGGCTCTGGAGTCCTGGCAAGGAACATGAGTTCATCTCCAACATACTACCCGCCCCCCCGAGGCAGGCAAGGGGAGTATTTATACAGTGTTCAGACAGAAAATTTGTAGTTATGGTCAGCAAGGACCTCAGGAGCCTGCTTAAGGCCAAAGATCATCATTGACTTGAACTCTTTTGTAGATGATGACGAACATGATTATGAAGAGATAGTTGAGAAATTTCAGAATACTCTTTAGATACTGGAGCAGCCCTGCTTCTTACCTGCTGTGTCTCAGGGAATCAGAGGCCGTCAACTATTACAAGCCTTTACAAGACCTCACACAAGAGCTCACTGAACTCAGACTGTGGACAGGAAATGGCTTCATGGAGACCAACGTGAAAAGGGGTGGACATTGTTCCAGTGTTTTCCTCATGTTCCAGGTTCCTGCCGCCGAGGGCTGGCTTGTTTGGGGCCAGCACCTCGCCCTCGCCTCTCTCAGCTCAGAGCTTTGGTGTCTAGAGGAGGCAGCTGGGTTCGGTTCAGTTCTGAGTCCCCAACGCTCGTGTCTCATGAGTTGGTACAGAAAGGAATCTGAGATCACCAACCTTGATGGTGGTGGCACCGTGTCTCCTGCCTCTCGGAAAAGGGGACTCAACCCGGAACACCCCGCACTGAGAGCCTTTTCTTCTGTTTGCCACCCCCTCGCCCTCTTCCTCCGCCACTGAACCCTAAGCCCCTGAGAGAGCAGGACTAGGTTGCCTATGAAGGAACATGATAGTTGCACGTGACGATCCAAGATTTTTTTGCTCAAAAACCATAGAATAAAAATGACACGTGGGTGTCTGGAAAAATGGGAACAGATATCATGTAGTAAGGTCTGTGCCAGACCCTTTTTAAACATTATCTAAATCCTCAACTCTCTGGATAGACAACGCACTGATTTTAAAGGTCAGAAAACTAGCCTGAGTGGTCGGGTACTTCAGGAAGGCTGACTAGTTGTGGGCCTGGGTTAGCATCTGGCCTCACCACCATCTGGGCTGTGGCTGTGAGCAAGTTCTTTTAACCTAATCTTCAGTTCCTTCATTTGTAAAATACAACTAACGGTTATCTACCTCACAGAATCGTTCTAAGGATCAAATGCGATAATCTAGGTGTAATATCTAGTGCAGTGCCTGGCACATAATAAACACTCAATAAAAATGTTAGCATCGTTCCCATTGACCCAGATAGCGCAGCTCTGTGTCTGAGGCCTATGTTCTTTCCCCACCTCCACACTGTCTCCCAATCACGGAATCCTTCTGTGTCTGGAATATACTGAGCTCGTAGACTGTGGAGACATGTGTGGACTGGTTGGAAGGCCTCCCCACCCAGCGTGACGGAGATAAACCTGGGTCTATGCAGACACTAACCCAGCTTCCAAGGTCAGTCCAGGCCTGTTCCTTGCGGTGAGACCACAGGCCTCACTTCCTAGAAGTGGCAGGGTTTTGGTTCCTAGATGGAGGCAGTCACAGAACCAAGCACACCGCACACTATCTCTTGTCCTCAGCAGAGGACAAGAAATAGATAAAAAGGGAACCAGAGTTTCTGGCTGACGTGGGAATGGAAAGACTGTCTGGAGCTCCCGGATTTGAGGGAGTGCACCTGAGTGTGTCCTTCCTAGGCCTCCTGCTCCCACACCCCAGCACTCCAGGTGAGCCCCAAGCAGCTAGTTCAAGCTGCGGGCCAGTCCCCAGGCCTGCCTCCAGAGACCAGCTCAGCTGCACGGGGGCACCCTGAGGAAGAGCGTGTTCTGGGACAAGCAGTAAGTATGGAAAAAAGTTCCTCCTGGGCACAGGACCCCAAGCGCCAAGCTCACGTGCAGAATGCCAACAGTTCTCACCTCCACATCTGCATTTAATTATGGCACCAAATTGAGCAAGATCTCAAAAGGGGGCCAGAGAGGGGTGTTTCTGAGTGTCCCGATGCTGCAAGAGAAGCAAGCAATTTCACAGCTGGGAAAACCGGGCTGAAAAGGAAAACATGCTTGAAAACCACAACTGTGAGTGGCTTATCATAGCGACTTGGGGGTCGGGGGGGGCGGCAGCAGGGACCACAGGCAGACAATGCCCGTGGGGCACTTTTGTCTTAACTCTGGACTAAGCCACTGGGCAGTGGGGAGGGTGTTAGAGTGGGGCCAGTGGTTCCCCCGGGTGATGGTCTCCAAGGCGAGCACACACTCCTGGGAACATACGAGATGTACACTGGGAAACAGAAGAGATTAGTCCATCCCTTCATATTTATTTTTCCTATCTTTTCTCATTTCTATTTTTGAATGTTTTGTGATGTAGAGAACACGCTCACACTGTACCAGGCGTCAACAACTGCTGAATAAATGAATGTGCACTGGAGGTGCTGACTCAAAAATGGATCGAGTTCTGAATCTCCCTCAAATGAATTTTCAAGTTATTTTTTTTTTAAGTAATCTCTACACCCAACGTGGGGCCCAAACTCACGACCCCAAGATTAAGAGTCTCATGGTCCACTGACTTAGCCAGCCAGACACCCCTAGCTCAACGGCGTTTTTAAAAAAAAAACAAAAACAAACAAAAAAAAACATCTATTCAGGGGCGCCTAGGTGGTTCAGTTGGTTAAGCATCTGACTCCTGATGTTGGCTCAGGTGCTGATCTCGAGGTCCTGGGATCAAGCCCTGTATGGGGCTCTGCGCTCAGTGGGGAATCTGCTTGAGGATTTCTCTCCCTCTGCCCCTCCCCCTGCTCACACACATGCATGCACACTCCCCAAAATAAATAAATCCATCTTTCTCTTTTAAGGGTTTTATTTATTTGACAGACCAGCGAGAGAGGGAACACAAGCAGGGAGTGGGAGAGGGAGAAGCAGGCTTCCCACCAAGCAGGGAGCCTGATTTGGGGCTCAATCCCAGAACCCTGGGATTATGACCTGAGCCAAAGGCAGAGGCTTTAACCCACCGAGCCACCCAGGAGCCACTAAATAAATCTTAGAAACAAGACAAAAACCCCTATTTATTCTTCCACATCAGATGCTAATTCTTAGTGGCTCTTCTCTAGTTAAAGCTGATTAAGTACTACTGGTAACCAAGGAGCCTAATTTCCCACCAGGATACTGTCCCTCAGAATAACATACTGTTCAAAATAACTTTAACTAATGAGTTGTGCTGGTCACACAAGCATGCTTAAAGATGACCTTGAGAAAAGACACGTACCAGCCACAGGCCTCTGGGGAAGAGGATGAAAAAGGTCCTTGAAGCAGAGCAGCTGGGAAGGCTGCCTGCTTCCTTTTTTCGTGGTCTCCCCAGAAAGCCTGCTGTTAAGCTAATCCCTTCCAGCACGCTTGCTTGCTCGACTGCTTGCTTGCTCAACTGCAAATCCGTGCTGCTGGACCCACTGAGTCACTGTGACCCACTAAGGACACACCTTACTCTTCTCGTTTACCTTGTTGACCTCTAAGACTTGCGACCAACATGACTCACATTCCTTCTTGTTGACCTGCTAGAACAACGGCTACTGTATAACCTTCTTTTCTTCTCCTTTGTTGCTATTTTGTATCTAATAAATACGGGACTGAGGAGGCGACCTTCCTCCTCAGGGCACCTTCCGGCTGTGGTCCCCTGCTCCCTCTCGCTTACAGCTGACGTGTTTGTGCCTCAGTCTTCTCCCTGCGCGGTTAGGAAAGCGGCAGGATACCTAGAGATTCTCCCCAGAACAAGCTGGATTCATCGCTTGGCTGTGCTCCTGGGGGGTTTCTGAGAACACGGGCTGTTCCTGCGGTCTTAATAAAGGCGCAAAGAAAATACTGTGTACTTGACATCCCGGTGGGCACGGTCACCTAGAAGGCTGGTGTTTCGTTCTAATGAGGAGGCCTGCCTGTGCTCAGAAGCCACATGGCTGTGGGGCCGTAAAGGCCAGGACGGCAGGGAATTCCGCACGGCTGAGCACCACTCTGTGCTACGGGCAACGCGGGACCAACACCGCCAGTGACGTTACCTCCTGTTTTGCTCTGTATTCCTAGTGCGTGACCAGTGGGCCGCCACAGTAGGATTCAACACATACCTGTTGAATTATTGAGTAGTTTGTAATTGCTGAATCATCGGCTTCAAGATCAAAAGGAAAAAAGGCTTCTACCCAGAATCACTGCTATTGCCTTGCCCGTTTGCGAGTGCTAGTCGGATAACTAGAGATGTCAACTATGCATGAACATATCCTATTGTGCATTCCAAATTCAAATCATGCTGTTTTTTAAAAATTTTATTTGACAGAGAGACGCAGCGAGAGAGAGAGAACACAAGCAGGAAAAGTGGGACAGGGAGAAGCAGGCTTCCCACTGAGCAAGGAGCCCAATGTGGGGCTCGATCCCAGCACCCCGGGATCACAACCTGAGCCAAAGGCAGATTCTTAACAACTGAGCCACCCAGGGATGGCTGGGCAAGGAAGCCTGGGCTTCCTGAAAACCAAATGTGTGGTTTTTGTAAAGAGATTTATTTATTTTGAGAGAGAGCACAAGCAAGCACGCCAGGCGGGGAGGGGGAGGGAGGACAGAACCCCAAGCCAACTCTGCAGAGCAGAGCCCAATGCGGGGCTCAATCCCACAACCCTGAGATCATGACCTGAGCCAAAACCACACTAGACACTTTACCAACTGTGCCGAGGCACCCCTCAAATATATGATTTTTTAACCTGTTTTTAGCCAGTGCCCTTTCTCTCAGAAAATAATCAAGAGTGGACAGACTTGCAGATAAACGTCCTGGTTGACTGACTTTTAAGCAACCATCTAGCTCCCTAGATAGGAACTATTCTGTACGTACAGAAACAAAAACCAGACTTGTTCACTTTTAGAAACCAGAGGGTGGGGCATTTTCCACATGGCTGCTGGTAGGTTTCATTCTGAAACACAGTTAAAGTGGTTATAGAATTTTTATTTGCATGTTACACCTCATTAACTTACCTCACAATCAGTTCTTTTATTCAAAACGTAGCTTACGTTCTAGAGTTGTCAAAAACATCTTTGAGGTAGTTTGCTCTCCCGTAAGAAACAGAACTGATTAAGCTGGCCAAAGCCTGTAGGCCTTTAAATGGTCTCATCTTTTATTTTTTGAATAAAGATTTTATTTATTTGAGAGAGAGAATGCACACATGAGCACAGGGAGGGGCGGAGGGAGAAAGGAGAGGGAGAGGCAGGCTCCCCGCTGAGCAGGACACCCAACTTGGGGCTTGATCCCAGGACCCTGGGGTCATAACCTGAATAGAAGCCAGGTGCTTAACCACCTGAGCCACACAGACGCCCTTAGTCTCATTTTGAGGTCAAATGGTTTATTACCAATTCAGTTACGTGACCACATATTGCTAGAGTAAGGTTAAGGTCCACTTTATAACCTCTACCAATGGCAATGCTAGATGCTTTGCAAACATTATTTTACTCAATTTTCCCAACACATTATTTTACTCAATTTTCCCAACTATGAGGAAATGATACAGCTGTCTTCGTAAATAAGGAAATGGGAGGCCCTCAGAACTGACGGAGCCTGCGCAAGATCCTAACTAAAAGGGGAAAGCCAGGATTTCAAACCCAAATCAAGCTATGCTACACACGTTAGATAAAGTAGTAATTATACCATCCTAGGAAGAAAAATAACATCTTCACAAATTCTACAACAGAGCTTTTATTATTAAACATACTGATGTACTTATTTGGTACAAAATCGAGCAAACGTCTTTCTCCCCTCTACCCTCATGAGGCCACCACAGAACTTCGTGTTCATAAAAACACACTTTTGGAAGCAGTCATGACAGGTAAAGGAAAGTGCAATTCTGAAAATAACACCATATAACCAACCAAAGGGTGGGAACAAAACCAGGCAGAGGTTAGTGGGTTTCTTGGCTAGCTCCCTGCTGAAGGCCCTAGGCCTGCTCATCTTCTCTCCACAGGGAACATTACAGGAGCAGAAACTCCTGCGTATCCTGTAAGTAGTACCACCCAACTCCCTTGGTAGCATGTTTCTTCCACTTCCATCTGTGCTGATGTTGTAAACAGCTGATCTATAACTTCTTTCGTTTTTAAAATATTTTATCTACTTATCTCAAAGGGAGAGAGAGCATAAGCAGGCGTAGGGACAGAGGGAGAAGCAGACCCCTGCCTGACTTGGGGCTTGATCCCAGGACCCTGGGATCATGACCCGAGCTGAAGGCAGATGCTTAACAGACTGAGCCACCCAGGCGCCCCGATCTGTAACTTCTTTAAGAAAGTCCACCCAGGTTTACATTCTTATCAACTGTCCAAAATTGAGCTTCAAGAAACAAAAATAACCACAAACTAAAAGCCAGAAGAGTAGCAAGTTTCAAAAGGATGCTAAGTGAGACCCTTTCTAGATGAAACCTACTCCCTAGAAGCCAACTGGCCAAACATGCACAGTGGGAGAAAATATACTATGAGAACAGGTCCAGCTGGAAAATGCCCCGGGAACTCAATTAGATCCAGTTAGTCTGCATCTGTGGATTTAAAATGATCATCGTCCACAGTGGAATAGATGTGTCCCTCGTTGCTGAGAAAATCCACAGCTTGCCTAGAAAGAAACAAAGGGGGAAAAAGGCTCATTTTCAAACTGACAAAGAAGAAAGGGAACTGACTTCTGGATATGGGCAACCACAGATTTTGCTCACTTCCCGCTTTCTACCTTAGCTAAGAAGTTACAGCCATTTTGCTCAGAGGACTCTTCCAGGAAGAGGCAGTAAAACTGCAAAAGTGAGATCATGCGCGGAGACACTGATTATTAGAGCTGCCTTGGACCCTCCTCCCAGACTGTGTAAAGGCAAGAAAATAGAGCCAAACTCAAATGCCAGGCTAAGCAAATGAAAACGATAATCTAAAAATGCAGTCCTGGGCGCCTGGGTGGTTCAATGAGTTAAGCCTCTGCCTTCGGCTCAGGTCATGATCTCAGGGTCCTGGGATCGAGTCCCACATCAGGCTCTCTGCTTGGCTGGGAGCCTGCTTCCCCCTCTCTCTCTGCCAGCCTCTCTGCCTACTTCTGATCTCTCTCTGTCAAATAAATAAATAAAATCTTAAAAAAAAAAAAATTAAAAAAATTAAAATGCAGCCAGCTTGCACATGAAACTCGTAACATAAACAGCTATTTTTCAAAGTTCCTTCTCCCTACCCACCCACCAACCCTCTGGGAAGCAAAGTTGCAGGACATTAAGAAAGATCTTTTCCAGAAATGGGAGGATGCCTTCAAACCCTTCGAGACCCTCAAGATCAGTGTAACATATTTAATAATGTTTGCTAACAGTAACTGTTTTCTAACTACTACTAAAATGTTTACTAACAGTAATAGAGCAACTACTATGTGACAGTGTTTCTTTTTTAAGATTTTATTTATTT